ATATTATTGCCCCCTGAAATTACCACACTACCAGTCGTCATAGAAAGTTCCGCATGATTTGACTAAAAGCTTGTATGGCATTGTCTTTACTGGAGTGAATGGACGGAGTCCCGACAGCTAGCTTCTTTTCTTAATGAACTACTTAAGACTTAGTTATTCGCCCACTTGTCTTGGCGCATTATGAAGGTCAGCAGCGGTACTGAGCTAGCCGGCCCCTAATTCCACGGGATTATGGACCAGTGTGGCTCATCTGCTGCGATTGTTAACTATAGCCTCACGGATCTCTGTCTAGAAGAAGAGGATGCGGTCACTGGAATAAGAGTTTTATTTTTTTGACGTTTTGGATTCCGCCGGGAATCCTTAATCATAGAAGATGGTAACGTAATCACCATTATCAAGTTTTATTGCTTTACGTTTAGTTTAATTTTTAGTCTAGTTAGTTATGTTATAGTAAACCACGGTGTTGTTTATAAGGAATCCTTACCCAGCCATCAAATATTCGGAATTTATTTTGCCTGAGGATGTGTGAGAGAATCCGAAACGTCAGAAAAATAAAACTCTTGTTCCAGTGATCGCATCCTCTTCTTCTGAACTGCCTCCTGGAGCTCGCATATTCTCCACTATTGGATCTCTGTCTATTCGACGTTACATTGTAAAACACCAAAGGCAGTCTTACCCAGCCAGTGATAGGGGTTCCTTATAAGCAACACCGTAGTTTATTATAGCGCAACTAACTACTTATTTTGTTTCAGTTCATTATGTAGTTTATTTATTTAGTTTTGTTAGTTTTAGTTAAATTTTTATTTGGTTTGGTGTAGTTTAGTTTGTCTGGTTTCAGTTTACTTTAGTTTTCAGTTTATTATCTAGTTTTATTGCTTTACGTTTAGTTTACTTTTTAGTCTAGTCAGTTATGTTATAGTAAACTACGGTGTTTTTTATAAGGAATCCTTACCCAGCCATCACATAGTCGGAATTTCTTTTGTCTGAAGATGTGCGAGGGAGAAAGCGGATAGAGTAAAGACGCTCCGGCTCGGACACAGCAAGTCCTTCCGTCATGATAATAAATCTACTGTGCTTTTAAAATACCACCATCCGCTAACTGTTGTAGCTGGAATGGTTTTAAACCGACGGAATAATGCTCTCTCTCCATAGACTAAATACCTGGTTGTAGCGGTCCCTTTGACAGTGATCCTTATGAAAGCTTACCTGAGTAGAAGCTGAAATCCCTTCATTTGAAATTGGGTTTTGTCAAGGCTTGTGTGTGGCGCGCATAGACGCAGCCGCGCACGTGTCTCTCTCCGGTTGTTTTGGCTTGCTCAAGCGAATAGTGCAACCCCAGCGCCGGAGGTAGTTCTTGACCAAGTTGAGACTCATTGTAGGCCATTGCATTGTTACTTCCTGTATCTCAGTTAACATCTTGCTCCCTGATACCATTACTGACAGGCGTTCGCTGTACTTTCTTTTACAGGCAAATTAATTTCAGTTCGGCCCACCTTTGCTTCACGTCTGCCCGGTCTGTTTGCCCTGAACGAACGTGTTGTCTACCTGGGCCGCTGGAAGCACGGTTTCATGAGCTTTACTGCCGTGGGGGCCACCGGCGTGGGATCCATCTGCGTGGAGGCAGACTCCAACTTGTGCACTAACAAACCCACACGGAGTTCCCTTGGTCTGCCCAGCTATCGTCACCTGGCAGAGGCACC